TGTCACTCGGATCCCATACCATCCTGCCCAGAACTGGGTGTCTTGGCCTCCATGCTGAAACCAGATGTAACGAACTCCAGGTGGGTAATTCCGGAAGGTGTGAGAAATCTGGAGAGAAAGAATAAAATTCCTCTTAACTTACCTAAATAAACCAGCACTGACCGAGAAGCTCAGACAACTACAGTATGTGAGTCTTGATCTCAGGAAAAACTTGTTCCAAGATACCTTTCATTGGAAGTGCATCATACCCCTTTTTGGGTATGATGGGTGAAACACCTCTCTCATTCAGCCTCCTGCCCTGAAAGCCGCTCCAAGTCAAACCTAACATTAAGCTTCAATCCTAGGTACATTTATCATATAAACAACAATGTAATGGGGAATCTACATCCTATCAAACCAGTTAAACATGTTTAGCAATTCAAGAAAAGTAATGTCTGCGATACTTTAAGTGACATCCGTGCAGTAGTTTTAAAACAAAGCTTTTTCATCCAATAAAAACAAGAACTGTAGTCTTGTAACTTATTTAGACAAAAACTTAAGACAGAAACAACTAAAGAGACTGAGCTAAAATAACAGAAGCCTGGGGTATACTCTTTAGAGAATCTGGGCACCTACAAACTGAACCTCGCTCTTTCATGGCACTACTGCTTCTTTGGCATTGTCAGCAGCAAGGACTGACTTGCCTTTTGTGTTGCGCAAGAAAGAAGGTCCACTTGGGACTTTGGGCCAGGTAAGACTTGCAAGATTCAAGTGTCACAGTACTGATGTAAAGCTACTGCCCCCAGGGCTGCTGCTTACCTCTCGCCACATGGCATCACTCCACTGCTCTATAACCACTGGCTCGGGGTGGAACTCCTCAAGGACAATGTAGTCTTCGGAAAGCAGCCGCACTTTGAGCTCATAGCGACACCCACAGTCAAATCTGGCAGCATACCTAGAGAGAGGCAATCGAGAGCAGGGTTGTACGTACAGCATTCGCTTCTCTTCAGTGTTCAAAACCAGCATTCAAGGGGATCCCCATCTGCAGAGAAATAGGAATCTCATCCCCATAGCTATGAAGTTCTAAAACTTCCAGCTACGCCGCTCTTCACGCGATTGCCACCTCTTTGCAGCCAATTGAATAAACCCAGATTCATCTTACGTTTTACTCAAGAGCTACAACTCCCAAAGAATAAAGAACTAATTTCATAGCATGAGGAGCTTCAGCGGCCTACCTTAGCTCTAGGCCAATGCCAGAAATTCTCATTTTCAGTGCATACACTTACCAATCCTTGACTACAATTTCAGGCCGTTTCTCATCCATCAGCTGATTCCAGTATCCTTCTTTCTGCAGGGAAATGACTTGAGACTTGAAGCACGGCCTGCAACAGCAATAGAAATATTCACAAAATGCATCTCTTCCCTCTCAACATCCATGCTTTGCCCCACAGCTTTACTCTTACCAAAAGCGCACCCAGAACTCAAAGGCCCCCAAGGCTGACCCAGCTCAGGCATGTCTTCTTCTGTAGCCAGAACTAGACAAGGAAGTGAACTGATTCACTTCACAGAACAGTTGCCTGCAAGCTGGATTAAGAGGGGTCTCTTCGCTTGTATAGCATGTGTTGGGTACAGGAAACTACTGCTTAATGGATGTAAAAGCCACTAATCCTCTGGTGACAGCTTTTATTGCAAGCTCTTAGCATGACAAACACACCTACCATCCTTAGAGGTTACAGAACTTTGACCTGTCAGGTTAGCGCATCTGATTAGCTTGCTTAACCTTTGCCTACCACCTTGGCTAGAAGAGATGCAGAGATCCCATGTGGATTATCATTACTATAAAAAAAAAAAAAAATCACAGAAAATTCCTGGTGGGGACAGAGAAATGTAGCACATGCTGTGATTAATTCTCTCAGCAGTACACCCGTGTCTTTAAACTAATTAGTATAAAAGTTTAAGCTCCTTCCTTTTCCCACACATGGTTCAGTGACCTGCCTCAAGCCTTCTAACCATAGTGCCTTCGCAGACAGACAGGAGAAAGCAGGTCTTCCAGCTCCACATTACTGGAATCTAGCTCTTACCCATACGAAGTGACAAAGTATTTGTGTACTCTGGGGTCTGGCATCATGTTTCCATGAACTCCAGGCAGATCCTCAATCTTCCATCTATCTCCATCATTACTATCAAGTTTCCAGTGCTGAAAATTCTCTAAAAACAGATATCAAAGATGAGTGTTAGGACCTCACTTCAGTTTCCAGCCGTACCTCCGCTTCTGTCCCACATTCAGCTACAGAAGAACACTAGGCACCCACTTTGATGAGTTTTCAGATACACTATTTTTCCTACAGCTGGAAGTGACTCCTGTCTTTATGTTGCCATTTAATGTGGCCATACGTAGCAACTTTCTGACCACATCAGAAACTCATAATCAGTAATAAAGTAGAATTACTGTAATCGTATTAATCATGTTTCTGACAACAAAAGTCCCCCAGCAGCCCGAATGTTTAATCCCAACAGGCAATGGTTCCATTACTGTGTTGTACGTGCTGTGCAAATTAACCGTCACGGTCTGCAGTGCTGGGCCTTAGTCATTCCAGAGATTTTTCTGGTTGTAACCACAGATACGTAGTCACCAGCGCTTTATCTACCCACGGTAGTTTTACTGCAGCTGTTTACTCGTGGGTCTGACCCAGCAGAGATCCGTCGGCAGTTGGACAGTCCCAGAGCTGCAGCAGCACTTGAGTAATGCGGGACACTGACTCACTCTGTCAGGAAACTCTTAGCTCTCTACTATAAATAATTAAACAAACCTTCAGCACAGGGGTTTTTGATTAAGTTTCTCTTTAAGCTGCAGAGCATATAGTAGATCTTCCAGTCAGAGACACTTCTGTCCAAATTCTGGGTATAGAAGCCCTCGCGCTGGCACTTGCGCTTCCACAGGGTGGTCAGGTCCACCACGTACCGCCACTGCCTGCAGACCGGCCTGCAGGCGCAGACCAGGTCCCGGGCCGGGAGCAGCGACAGCAGCTCCACCCGGACCTCTTCGGGGAGATCCAGAATCGGTG